CATAATTCAATACATGTAATCAAAGTAAGGAGAGCAGACTCAAGACCTGAACTCTATTGAACACCTTTGGATGATGGTCAGGTGCCCACAAGCTCTTATGAAACAGTGGAACATCTAATAAAGTGGTGTTCAACCTAAAAGGTCCCAAAGACCAAATTTGTATCCACAAGTTGATTTGCCACAGTGTTACTCCTCGCTCCCTCCTATATACAACGAGTGGTCAGATTATTATGACCACCTGACGTTTGTAGGCAAAATATCTATAATTAGCTATAATTTGGCGCTGAAGTTGCTAGAGGGCCAGACCATTATAAATAGGGAAGCAGGTTGGTTACCACGACAGTAGAAGTGATTTTTTCTGAAGATACGGGGAAACAACGCGATTTAACTGCCTTTGAACGTGGGATGATTGTTGGCGCTCGGAGCCATAGAGCGAGTATCAGCAAAACAGCAGAATTCGTTAAATGTTCAAGAGCAGCTGTTAAAGTGTTTAAAGACTGGACTGTCAGCAGAAAATCTGGGTCTGAACGTGCGAATTGTGGCCGTCAGCGACTAGTCAATGTTAGGGCAGAACGGAGAGTGGCAAGACTGGTACAAGACAACAGAAGGGCAACAGTGCAGTGTCAGATTCCTCGCATCACCTTTCAACATCTCGTGGAGTCACGAGGCGGCCCAACGAAGTCATCTCGTGGAGTCATCTGGTGGCCCAACGAAGTACTGATGGGGTGGTCATAATAATCTGGCCACTCATTGTATTCTCCAAAACAAATTGTCGCGCAGACCTAGAGTGTTCGTGTTTCGCTGGAAGAAAAGGTGGCAACCCACGATATCATGGCCCACTTCTTCATCGGACGACCAGCACCCTCGTGCATTTTTTTGTGTGCGGTGATTTCACTGTTCCCTTTTTTTGCCCAGGGGGGTTCTCGTTATGATGCACGCACCGCGGAGCTTCCACAATGTTCTGACAACTTTATTAGATCTTCGATAACGTAACCGACATTCATTTTATTTGCATGAACGTGGCACAGAAACATCTGACAAAGTTCTTCATTCAGAGGCGGCGAGCTGCCGAGGTTTTCCTATTGAATCTGCAATCATCCAGCCAGGAGAAGAGGAGGAGGAGGGATGACAGTCTGCGGCCACTTGACAAAGCCAACACCTTTGATGTTATTGTTGTTTTGAAGAGCCGGCGGAGTTTGTGTTATTAGGGCTTGGAGGGGGAAAAAAAAGGAAAGCTGGACGCAACACAAGCACTTGGCCGGGGCACAGCTCCGATTTGACACGGTGGAAGCCATCAACACACATATGCAAGTGGCGGCCCCGGATGAACCTGTGAACAGACTGACGCTGAGTAAACGTTCGGGGAGGAGCTCTATCAATTCTCACAACGGAGTGCCGATTGGGGCCAAGAAATGGAGGGAAACCAACAAAAACAACAAAGACAGTAATGAGTTCTTTATCAGCTAATAAAGAGCCGTTTGTCAAATACAGAAAGGAAAAGAGAGGCCGGGAAGTATCTTCAAAGGAGAGATGGCAAAAAAATAACCATCATTACTGGATCCTTCTATAGTCGCCCCAAAAACTGGCAAAATCATCAGAAGATAAAACAATTATGTCACCGCATGGAGGACCCATATCCTAATGCAATCTCGGTTTCTCAAAACTACATTGCCCATCATGCATTGCTCCCAGCAAGCAATGATAATGTTACATTGTTCAGAAGGCAGGCTGTATGACCGTGGCGACACAAGGAAGTGCATATTCATAGGGCTAAGTAAAATCATGTCACTACGACCTTCTTGCCCAGGGGTGGGAAACTCCGGCCCACCAGCTGTGCTTTAACTACAAATCAGGTTGCAAAGAGCTCCTAGCAACCTGTGATGATCTCATTCATACCAGGGCGGCAGCGTTTCAGCACGATTTGTGAAGGGGCATTTTTTGTCGTTTTTCAGCGCTGAAACGCAATTAAATTCGCCCAAAAACGCACTGATCAGCATGTTTCCATTGAAATCTATATGGAAAACACACTGAGCAGCGCGACAAAAGTAGCTGAGGGAGCATTTTGGGTGGCAGGCGTTTCGGGTTGCGCAGATCCATGCGCTTGCATGAACGATCCCCATAGAGCGACTGAAATGCCCTGGTATGAACGGGACCTAACTTTTAGTCTTGCAATGCCCCATGGGACTTGTAGTTCCACAACAGGTGAAGGGCCGGAGTTGCCCACCCGGTTATTAGAAGTAATTCAATATACAAATACATGTTTACTTTTTGACTATAGATACAGAGGTGGGCAAACTCCAGCCCTCCAGCTGTGATGGAACTACAAATCCCATGAGGCATTGCAAGACTCTGACAGCCACAGGCATGACTCCCAGAGGCCGATGCGTGCTGGGATTTGTAGTTTCACCATAGCTGGAAGGCCGGAGTTGCTGTTTTAAGGGTTATTGGTCCCCTAATTACTACATAAACGATGCACAATCACCCCACAGAAGATGAAAAGTCTCTGACGCTCCATGCTGACCTAAAAGTTGTGAGGGGTGAGGGATGGCTGTGTGGTCACAGCGTGTGTCCTTTACAGTGCGGTTCATGTGCGGTCAGACTGGTCTATTCGTAATCCTCCGGCCTCTCCGTCCCTCCGCAACGATCCTGGGAAGCGGAATCCATTGATAATTGGCGCCCTCGCAAACCTCTCTCTCTCCCGCATTTCCCATCTGCTGCTGGAATGTTAATGACTTTCTCACATGGAGCCCGGGGCCCCGACGGTGGGATGCCATGACAGCGCCTCAGGTTTTTGATGGGACGGTTTGTGTTACACGGTCACGGCGCCGCGCTTTGATGAAGGATTACGCGTCTTATAAACGGCCGCGTTTTGCACATTTTTACAGCGGTAACCGCGGGCCGAATGTTCCCCCGGGGGCGTCCGTGAGGATACATCATGGCGCCTCGCAGAGTACGGTAGCACAAGTGCGCCTGTAATGAATGCTGATGGGTTATCCTCACTTCTATTACTAATCAGCTATGGCGCACAAATACATTTCATGACGCAGCGTTTACAAATATAGGGGCAGGAGCCCCGGAATGCAATATATAATCTGATTATATATTGCATTCCGAGGCTCCTCCCCCTGATCAAAATACTGATTCAAATTTTTTTTTTAAATCCATTTTTATTACATAACTTATTTTAGAGCCAATGACATCATCACCGGGTCTCTGTGCTTCTCTTTGCAATGCAGGCAGATCATAGGTGGTGGGAGGGGCCAACAAGTGTGCTGTACATAGCTTCCTGAAAACATCACAGCGCCCTGCTTCAGTGAGAAGCTGTGTTGGACGTCTTGCGCCCCTGTTGCCAATGGCGCCCTGTGCTCGCCATGGCAACAGGTGCCACGGGGCGCAGCCAGGCTGGCCCTGGCTACGCCCCCTCTCAGCTGCGCCTGAGGCGAGTGCCTCACTCGCCCCATGGTATCTACAGCCCTGACTCCACTCAAGAGCCCTCAGCTCTGATGCAAGCAGTGGGCCGACTCTTGGGAGGAGTTATGCAAATATCAAAATGACTTAGCCCCCATTCACACCTAGGCGTATTGTAATATGCGCGTCTGTCGCGCGACCGACGCGCGTTTTTTTACCGCGATTCGCGGTAAAAAAAGTTGCGCGACCGTCGCGCGATTCCAAAGGCTACTTGGCTGTATCCCAATGGAAAACGCCCTACAAAACGGCCCAAAGTAGTCCCGGGACCTTTTCAGGCGTGGGCCGTTTTGTAGGGCGTTAGGGACGGGCGGAAATACGGCAAGGTGGGAACGAGGGCATTGACTACAATGCAATTTATATTTTTGACCGTTTTGTAGAGCATTCGTCGAGCGTAGAACGCCCTACAAAACGGTCAGGTGTGAACGAGGCCTTAATAGGTGAGTGTAAGTCTGGAAGAGTGGGTGGACCTAGCCAGGCTGCATTCGCATGCAGACCACACTCGGGAACGCCCACATGTGATGGTCAGCCGCCATAACTAAACCTTAAGAAACTACAAACCCCATGATGCATCTGTCTCTGGAAGTCATGCCTATGACTGTGAGAATCTTGCAATGTCTCATGGGATTTGGAGTTCCATAACACCTGGAAGGCTGAAGTGTGTCTGTTTAAGGGCCTGTTCACACGGCGTCCGTTTTCTGTGCTGACCTGATCCGTACGCTCCTGCACTAAAAATGCATCCCAATGTATCCTATGTGTGTTATGGGCTACAGTTCTCAGGTGCGCAGTCCGTTCAGGTTACGACAGAAAAAATACTGCATGTCACATTTTGTACGGTCAGGAAACGGTCCAGAAATGCAAAACGCGTCAAAAACGCACTGCACTGCAGCTAACATACTGACAGCCCCACTCCAGCAACAAAATAAAATTAAAAAAACTGGAACGCATCAAAAACGCGGCCAAAACGCACTGCATCAGTAGCACCGCGTCTGCAGATCCGCACCTAATCAGGACCTGATATCATGTGAACAGGCCCTTAGCAGGTTTTTAACCCCCGCTGCTCTTTCCAAAATTAAAAAAATAAAAGGTTTGATTTCCATACATTTTAAGCAAGCAGCTATGAAGTCTCTCTTGTAGCCGAAGCCTAAATTAGAAGCAGTAACAAGCAACATCAAGAAATTCATTACAGCAAGGGTAGGCAAACTTGGCCCTCCGGGTTTGGTGAAACTGCAAGTCCCATGAGGCTTTGCAAGACTCTGAGAGGCACCGATATGACTTCCAGAGACAGATGCATGATGGGATTTGTAGTGTCTTCACAGATAGCGTGCCAAGTTTGCCTACTGGTCTGATGAAGGATGCAGCAAGAGAATATATATATATAGTAAAATAGCAGTTCTTTCCATGACCTATGGCCAGAAGTGTGCTCTTCCCACTAATTGCTCTCCCCTGTAATCATTCTTCCCGGAACCCGACCATCTTAACTCTGTTACCGGCCGGAGGTTTTGCGGTTGCACGCCACTCATAAGCTGTAGTGTGCTGCTGCGAATTCCTTCCCCCTTTTCCTCTCCTGTGCACGTTGCTGTCGGAAGAAGACGGTTTTTGGGCTCTCGGTGTCCAGCTGCTATCGCCATGACTAAGGAGGATAACAAAGGGTAAGAGGGGGTCATTGTCACCCCATTCAGGGGCGGGGAGTGTGGGTGGAAGGGTGACACGGCAGGGGGTGATGGCACTTGTAGTGCACCAGGCATTGCAGAACTATTGGGAGACCTGGATGTGACAGGGTGACAACTATTGGGGAAACCTGGATGTGACAGGGTGACAACTATTGGGAGACCTGGATGTGACAGGGTGACAACTATTGGGGAAACCTGGATGTGACAGGGTGACAACTATTGGGGAAACCTGGATGTGAAAGGTTGACAACTATTGGGGAAACCTGGATGTGAAAGGGTGACAACTATTGGGGAAACCTGGATGTGACGGGGTGACAACTATTGGGGAAACCTGGATGTGACGGGGTGACAACTATTGGGGAAACCTGGATGTGACGGGGTGACAACTATTGGGGAAACCTGGATGTGACACTAAGGTTGCCACCTGTCCGGGTTTGGAATCCTGTGTCAGATTTTCAGGCCAGCTGAGCCCCGGACACAGGATGTCACAATTGCAGGCGGACGGGGTCTGCCCGGGGTCCTGCCGCTAAGGCCGCATTATGTTGGAATCTGTGTCATGTACCTTCTGTGGCGCTCCCCACCGTAAGTCTTCCCTCTCCCTTTTGTGGCGATCTTTTTTTTTTTTGTTTAACCGTCAGAGATCATTTCTTCCTGATCCTGGTGGAGGTGCGAGGTGTGTGTTCCTTTGTTCACCATACACTGAGTGTCCAGATTATTATGACCACGTGACGTTTGTAGGCAAATTAGCTATAATTTCGTGCTGAAGTTGCTAGAGGGCCAGACCATTATAAATAGGAAGCAGGTTGTTTAACACGACAGTAGAAGTGATTTGTTTTCTGAAGATACGGGGAAACAACGCGATTTAACAGCCTTTGAACGTGGGATGATTGTTGGCGCTCGGAGCCATGGAGCGAGTATCAGCAAAACAGCAGAATTCGTTAAATGTCCAAGAGCTGCTGTTGTTAAAGTGTTTGAAGATCGGACTGTCAGCCGAAAATCTGGGTCTGAACATGGGAATTGTGGCCGTCAGCGACTAGTCAATGTTAGGGCAGAACGGAGAGTGGCAAGACTGGTACAAGACAACAGAAGGGTAACAGTGCATCAAATGACTGCAGATCTTAATCAGGGATCCTCTCAAATGATCTCTGAACGCACTGTTCGCCGTACACTGCATCGTATGGGATATGGAAGCCGAAGGCCTGTTCCAACACCTTTGCTATCTGCAGGTAACAAGATAAAACGTCTCCAATTCGCACAGGAACACAAGGATTGGGCAGTCGAGCATTGGAAAAAAGTCATGTGGTCCGATGGATCACGTTTCCAGTTGCATCATGCAGATGGCAGAGTGAGAATTTGGCAGAAACAGCATGAAAACATGCACCCCACATGCATGAGTACAACCCTTCAAGCTGGTGGGGGCAGTGTTATGGTTTGGGGCATGTTTTCCTGGCATGATTTGGGCCCTTTAATTCATGTGGAACAACGTCTGAATAGCACAACATACCAAAGTATCGTTGCTGATCAAGTTCATCCTATCATGTTGATGGCGTATCCCAATGGAGATGGCTTCTTCCAACAAGACAATGCGCCATGCCACGGTGCTCGTATTGTGCAGGAGTGGTTTCAAGAACATGAGGGAGACTTTACCTTGCTTAGGTGGCCCCCACAATCACCAGATCTCAATCCAATTGAGCATTTGTGGGACGAAGTTGAAAGAGCCATCAGGCAGCTGGTTCCACAACCATCAAATCTCACAGAACTGGACAGTGCTATTCATCAGGCATGGTGTCAGATTCCTCGCATCACCTTTCAACATCTCGTGGAGTCAATGCCAAGAAGAATCGCCGCAGTATTGAAGGCAAAAGGTGGCCCAACGAAGTACTGATGGGGTGGTCATAATAATCTGGCCACTCAGTGTATATATATATATTATATTGCCGAAAGTATTGGGGCACCCCTCCAAATCATTGGATTCAGGTGTTCCAATCACCTCCATGGTCACAGATGTATAAAATCACGCACCTCGGCATGCAGACGGTTCTAGAAACATTTGTGAAAGAATGGGTCGCTCTCAGGAGCTCAGTGACTACAAGCATGGTACCATGATAGGTTGCCACCTGTGCAACAAGTCCATCCGTGACATTTCCTCGCTACTAAATATTCCGCGGTCACCTGTTACTGGTATTATAACAAAGTGGAAGCAACTGGCAACAGCAACTCAGCCAGGAAGTGGTAGGCCACGTAAAATGACAGAGCGGGATCAGCGCATGCTGAAGCGCACAGTGCGCGGAAGTCGCCAACTGTCTGTAGGAGTCAATAGCTACAGACCTCCAAACTTCGTGTGGCCTTCAGATTGGCACAACAACAGTGCGTAGAGAGCTTCATGGAATGGGTTTCCATGGCCGAGCAGCTGCATCCAAGCCTTACATCATCAAGTGCAATGCAAAGCGTGGGATGCCGTGGTGTAAAACACGCCGCCACTGGACTCTAGAGAAGTGGAGACGTGTTCTCTGGAGGGACCAATCACGCTTCTCTGTCTGGCAATCCGATGGACGTGTCTGGATTTGGCGGATGCCAGGAGAACGGTACTTGCCTGACAGCATTGTGCCAAGTGTAAAGTTTGGTGGAGGGGGAATTATAGGGGGTTGTCTTTCAGGGATTGGTCTTGGCACTGCCCGAGGGCCCACAGCCTGGAGGGGGCCTGTGTCCTCCACCCCCCAAGAGTTGCCACCTGTCCAAGATTCACCCGGACACTCCGGATTTTGAGTTCTGTATGTGCTGTGTACGTGTATCAGGCCAGCTGAAACCCGGAGCTGCACTATCCGACATACACAGAAATGTGCGCAGTGTATGTCCAGCTTTACAGTACAGAGCAGATCGGCCCCTGTATTCCATATTAATGCGTCTCCCCCGGTCCGAGGCTACTAGTATCTATAGGATTGTAGCAATTTGGGTCAGCAGGCAGTAGATTTATTGTGATTTGATGTGTTCAGACTGGGAAGCCATGTTCCGTGTGGACTCGGCCTGTTTGCAGAGGATTGCATCATGCTACAGAGCTGTGTTTCTGTTCCTCGTTCCATAAGGCTTTGTAGATTGCAGTGAAAGTATTCAAAGTCAATGCCGGTCAGGAAAAGGTGACTTCTGATTGGTTGCTGGGGGATTATTGCAAACTATAATATTTTTATAATATACGATGTATATAGCGCCCACAGTCTGCACAGCTCTTCACAATATAAGGGAAGACAAGACAATACAATACCACACAAAAGGATTAGAGGGCCCTGCTTGTGAGGGCTTACAATCTACCAGGAGGGGCAAGTGATACAGAAGGTAATAATTGTGAGGGATGAGCTGACTGAAGGAGCAGATGGAGGAGGAGGCATAGACTGCCATGAAGAGATGAGTTTTCAGGGATCGCCGAAAGGCGGACAGATTAGAAGATAGCCGGATAGGTTGGGGTAGGGAGTTCCACAGGAAGGGAGAGGCTCTGGAGAAGTCCTGGAGCCGAGCTTGGGAGAACTAACATTTTCATATTGCGATAGCCAGCACAATTCACAAATCTTTAATACGCATCTTTATTTTTTCCGGTCATGTGACTGTCATTTTCAACTGTCATTGGACTCCGCCGGCAATAACTCACTTTTTCTATTATCAGTATCTTTATCCCGGAGTTTTACCTCCGTGAATTAAACCCAATGCCTAAAGTCGGTGGTGTTTGTGCGTGTGTGTCAGTCACGCAGGCATGCTGTAGATGACTGACAGTAGCACATGTTGCATTACTCATTCCTGGCGTCACCCCCCATGACCGGCTTGCAATGGTCATCTTCGCTCAGTAATCTCATATTCAGCAGTTCGTGAGTCACGTGCGATTGACCGTGTTCTGTGTACAGGGGTCGCTCTGTCTCCGTGGGTCTCCCGTATGGATTTGTTTTTTGAACTGTCATCAGAACATGGATT